ATGGACACCTCAGGTTATTCCATTACTTGGCTTTTGCAAATAGTTTTCAATAAACACGATGTTTAAATATGATGCTTAAATTTGTAGGTGTGTGCATGTGGCCAGTAGTAAGATAGCTGGATCATAACAGTAATTCTACTTTTTAATTTTTTGACAAATCTCAGCTATGTTTTTCTACAGTGGCTATATTATGTTTTCACCCTACACTCAGCATTTGTTTTTGTTTGTTTGATTAATTTTTGTTTTTTGTCGGTCATGGGGGCTTGAACTCTGGGCCTGAGCACTGTCCCTCAGCTCTTTAGCTTAAGGCGAGCACTCTACCACTTGAGCCACAGCACCACTTCTGGTTTTCTGGTGGTTTATTGGAGATGAGAGTTTTACAGCCTTTCCTGCTTGAGCTGGCTTTGAGCTGCAATCCTTAGATCTCAGCCTCCTGAGTAGCTGGGATTTCAGGCGTGAGCCACTGGTGCCTAGCTGTCTTTTTTATTATGGTCTACCTTATTTTGTGTGTATGTATGAGACACATACCAGTTCTAGAGTTAGAAATCAGTGACTGGGGGGCTGGGAAAGTGGCTCAGTGGTAGAGCGCTTGCCTTGCATGCCTGAGGCCCTGGGTTTGATTCCCCAGCACCACATAAGCAAAAAGAAAAAAGCCGAGAGTGGCGCTGTGCCTCAAGCGGTAGAGCTCTAGCTTTGAGCTGAAGAGCTGAGGGACAGCGCCCAGGCCCAGAGTTCAGGCCCCATGACCGGACCCCCCCCCCCCCCAAAAAAAATCGGAGTGTTTAGGTGTTTAGACTTATGTATATCTACTTGGGTTTATTTCTGCCATATTATGTATGACTGTGTTTTGAATCCTATTTTCTCTTATACTGCCTTTTTTTTTTTTTTTGCCAATCCTGGGGCTTGAACTCAGGGCGTGAGTACTGTCCCTAAGCTTCTTTTGTCCAAGGCTAGCACTCTACCATTTGAGCCACAGCGCCACTTCTGACTTTTTCTGTTTATGTGGTGCTGAGGAATGGAACCCAGGGCTTCATGCATGCAAGGCAAGCACTCCTCCACTAAGTCACATTCCTAGCCCTACTGCCTTCTTTTGATTGAATGATATTTATGATACCATTTCATTTGCTACATTTTTTTTGTCGGTTGTGGGGCTTGAACTCTAGGCTTGGGTGCTGTCCCTCAGCTCTTCAGCTCAAGGCAAGCACTCTACCACTTGAGCCACAGCACCACTTCCAGTTTTCTAGTGGTTTATTGGAGATAAGCGTCTCAGTGAAGGGGAGAAGAGGGAAGTGTAGTTGTGGAGATGGGAGGAAAGGGATGTTAGGGGAAAAACAAAGGAGGAGGCAACAATGCTTGATAAGAAATGTACTCATTACCTTGCTCGTGTAATTGTAACCCCTCTGTACAGTATTTTCACAATAAAAAAAACTTATTAAAAAAAAAGTCTCACTGACTTTCCTGCTCAGGCTGGCTTTGAACCATGATTCTCAGATCTCAGCCTCCTAAGTAACAAGGATTACAGGCATGAGCCACTGGTGCCCAGCTTAAACTTTTTTTTTAATTTAATTTTTTTTTGTGAACATACTGTACAGAGGGGTTACAATTACATGGGCAGGATAATGCGTACATTTCTTATCAAGCATTGAAGCCTCCTCCTTTGTTTACCCTTCACATCCCTTCCCAGCCTCCCCCCACCCTGCACCAACATTGTAAAGCTCGTTTTCAACATGACAACTTGTACTTCTCTGTATCCTTAAACGACTTGTTTTTCCCCATCTCCTCCACAAGTTATACTGACATCAAATATAGTGAAAGCAGGGGTTATACTGTGGGGGAGGGACATACAAAGCAACAGAGATAATCTTATAAATGCGTTAGAAACAAATGCATGAAAGAAAAAAACATTAAAATACATATCTAAGGGTTCATTTTCCTAACACCCAGCTTAAACTTTTTAAAAAATTATTGTTATTATTATCTTTAGTTTTACAAAGTATTTCAATTCAAGTCAGTCTGTGTGTTCAATGCATCTTGATCAATGTCGCCCTTTTTATCTTTTCCAACTCTACTCATCCCCACCCGACTCATCCCCTCTTTACCTAGTTTCATTTTCACATATATACATTGAATATGACTGTATTCACCCACCTCTCCTGTCTCCATTCTTCTGTCCCTCCTTTGATCTTCCCAGCTGAATTCTATCAGATCGTTAAAGAAGAACTGACACCAATACTCTTCAGACTTTTCCATGAAATCACAAGGGAAGGATCACTACCAAACTCATTCTATGAAGCCAGCATTATGATCACCCCACAACTGGGCAGAGACCTAACTCAGGAAGAGAACTATAAACCAGTATCTTTGATGAATATAGATACAAAGCTCATTAATAAAATGCTTGCTGCCAGGTGCTGGTGGCTCATGCCTGTAATCCTAGCTACTCAGGAGGCTGAGATCTGAGGATTGAGGTGCAAAGCCAGCCCAGGCAAGAAAGTTCTTGAGACTCTTATCGCCAATTAACACCAAAAAAGGTGTGGTGCTGTGGCTCAAGTGGTAGAGCACTCACCTTGAGCTGACCGACAGCACCCATACCCAGAGTTCAAGCCCCACGACCAACAAAATAATAAAGAATAAAAAATAACCAAATTCAACAACTAATAAAAAAAATCATTCACTACGATCAAGTTTGTTTTATTCCAGGAATGCAAGATTGGTTCAATATATGTAAATAAGTATACTATAGCATATTAACTTTTAAAGTGATTTTATGAATAAAAGGAACATTTTTATATCATATATTTGCAGTGTACCTTTTTCTTTATGTAAATGAATATTTCCATATGGTACCTTTTTCTTTCATACTGTGTAACATTTTTCTTTTTGTGGTGTTGGGGAACAAATTGAGGACCTTGTACAAGGTAGACAAGTCCTACCTTCCCCTCTCCTTTTTTTTTGGAAGTAGGTTTTCACTATAGAGTCCAGGCTATCCTTGAACTCATGACCCTCCTAGCCTAGGCCTCTACAGAACTGGGAATATTAGCATGTGCCACAATGCTAGACTAAATAAGCACTTCGATTTTTAAAAATTTGTTTCTTCTGAGTTTTGAATTCTAGGTCAACCAGTAATGTTTTCTTTCAGTTGTTATACCACTGTCCTGTAATTTTTATTGTTTCTATAAGATGTCATTCTTTTTTTGTGCTGGTCCTGGGACTTGAATTCAGTGCCTGAGTATCGTCCCTGAGCTGTTCTGCTTTACCACTTGAGCCACAGCTTTACTTCCAGCTTTTCTTGAGTAGTTTATTAGAGTTGAGAGTCTCATGGACTTCCCTTCCTGGGCTGGCTTCAAATCTCAAGCACCAATCAGATCTCAGCTTCCTTTGTAACTAGGATTACAGGTGTGAACTACCAATGCCTGGAACAAGATGTTATTCTTGTTGAAAGAATGGAGAGATTATTCTTTGTTTCTCTGTACTTGTCCTTTTCTCTGGCCAAGGCTAAGATTTTTTTCCCTCTTTACCTGTGCTTTTTAAGCAAACTTAAATATGATAAATATTGTAGTTTCTTTTTTTTCCCCTGCCGGTCCTGGGGCTTGATCTCAGGGCCGGAGCACTGTTCCTGAGCTTTTATTCAAAGCTAGCACTCCAACACTTGAGCCACAGTGCCACTTCTGGCCTGTTCTGTGTATGTGGTACCGAGGAATCTAACCCAGGGCTTCATGCATGCTATGCAAGCACTCTTCCACTAAGCCACTATTTAGTTTCTTAATGTCTTTTTTCCTTGGAGTATTTTTTTTTTTTTTTTTGATGCTCAGATCTGTGGGTTTAATAGTTTTCATCAGCTCTGGAAATTTTCCAGCTGTTAAATTCTTTTTCTTTCTCTCTATTAGTAGACTCTTTGTAGTTAATCTGCTTGCAATTACTCTCCATTTTTTTTTTCAAATTTTGAAGTTCTATAATCTGGTGTGTGTGTGTGTGTGTGTGTGTGTGTGTGTGTGTGTGTGTGTGTGTGTGTGTGTGTGTGTGTGTGTGTGTGTGTGTGTGTGTGTGTGTGCGCGCGTGCGCGTGTGAATGAATGAAAGAGAGAGAAAAGAAAGGGACTGGGGATTTAATTTAGGGTCTTGCGTTTGTAAGCCAGCCTTCTACCACATGAGCCATATCCCACTTCTTTTGCTTTTCAGTTTGATTTTAAGGTTGGATTTCAATAACTTTTGTCCAGGCTGGTCTTGAATCATAATCCTTGATTCTCCACCTCCCAAGTAGCTAGGATTGTAGGCATGTATCACCACACCAATCCTTTTAATCCCCAAAATGTGTGTATATATTACATAATTCAATGAATTATATTGTTCATGTTTTAGAGTTAAATTTAAAACTTGGGAAAATACTTTCTTGTGTTTTTTTTATACTTATTTTTCTCTACTTTCTTAAACATGGAATATAGGTATATCCTTGCTTGCCATTTTTTAATCTGAAACATTTATGATGGTTTGTTTAATCTCCACACTCTTCTCACACTTTCATATGAATTGTGTTTCCTTGCTTTTTTTTTTTATATGGCTGGTCATTTTCAGTTGGGTGCTGGCCATTGTTAATTTGACTTTGCAAGTTAACCTTTTGCTTTGTTACCAGACTTGAATAACCTTTAATGTATGCCTGATTTTTCTCTACTACTGAGGCATTGTAATTCTGAGTGTGTTGCCCAAAGTCGCGTATATTGCATGATGTTTTGCTCTAGCTGACAGCTGTTTCCAGCCCAATATGAGCCTTGGATATTGTTCTGTCACCTCCTTTGTGAGGGGCTTTCACAGATGTGTACAGATAATATACAAGAGTAGATCCAGTATGTTATCATCCTTATTTGTAAGTCATCTATCACTGTATTCATCTATCTTTGTTAGAATTTTCTGTTGAAGTTGGCTTTTAGTACATTTAGTTCTGATTTTTCTCTGTTCTTTCAGCAAAAGAATGAATCATGGCTGAGGCGGCCAAGAGGACTGAGCCCAAGAGTGAGTCAGGAAGACCCATGACCAATGATCCCAACGAAACATGGATTACACGCATCTTCAATTACAGATGCTACATCACCTTCCTTACTGGCTTCTACAGTTGTGACTGGGCATACGAAGAGTGGGATAAAACGGAACTTGGATCCTGTTGCTGCTCTCGGGTACTGTTTCATAGATGTGGGGAACATGATCTGGATGTGTCCATTAGATAGCTCATTAGAACCTTCGGAATGGAGGAGCCAAAAGGCTACACAATCCAGGAAAGGATTATGTCAATTCTAGAGTCAAGTTAAACTTACTGAACCAAGGACTTGCTGTTCTCATTTTCTTTAATCATTTTCTTCCTCACAATCTTCCTCCGCTTTTTTCCTTTTTCTTCCTCCTTTTCCCTCTCTTCCCCATCCTCTTCTCCCAACTCGTTCCTTTCCCCTTTGTCCCCCTCTTCCTTTTCTTTCTCCCTCCTCCTTCTTTTTCCTTCTTTCCCCTAACCCTTCACCCTCCCTTTCCTACCTCCTCTTTTCCCTCCTCTTGTTCTTCTCCCTCCCTTCTTCCTTTCCCTCCTCCTCCTCCTCTTTCTTCTCATTTCCCCTCCCACCCTCCTCCCCTGTCTCTTTCTTCTTCTTCTTCCCCTCTTTTTCTTCCCTCCATTCTCCCTTCCCCTTCACACCTATCCTTTCTCCTCCTCATTTCTCTTTTTTTATGGTGGTGTGAATTGTACACATGTCTGGCAGTTATTCTACCACTGAGCTGCACCTCCAGTCCCTCACTCTAGTCTTGTCTTTTCTTTTCTTTTCTTTCTTTCTTTCCTTCTTCCTTCCTTATTTTTTCCAGTTGTGGGGCCTGAACTCTGGGCCTAGGCACTGTCCCTCAGCTCCTCAGCTCAAGGCTAGCGCTCTACCACTTGAACCACAGCACCACTTCTGTTTTTTTTTCTGCTTATGTGGTACTGAGGAATTAAAGCCAGAGCCTCATGCATGTGAGGCAAGCACTCTACCACTGAGCCACGTTCCTAGCCCTATACTGTCTCTTTTATGTCAATCATTCATTTGCATTTATTGTGTGTGTGTGCGCCAGTCCTTAGTGGTGTTGTTCCTGAGCATTTCTGCTCAAAGTTAGCACTCTTACCACTTGAGCCACAGCTCCACGTTGGGCACTTTTGGTAATTAATTGAAGAGTCTTATGGACTTTCCTGCCCAGGCTGGCTTCAAACCGTGATCCTCAGATATCAGCTTGCTGAATAACTAGGATTATAGACATGAGCCACCATGCCTGACATTTTTATTTTGTTTTGTTTTGCTTTTAACAGTCATGGCTTTATTCAAAACACAGTTGTACAAAAGTATTCAAAATTTTAAGGAGAGATTCTTGAAGAACTTAACATTATATTCATACTGCTATAGAAAGAACATTAAAACAGAAAATAAAAGTTCTACAAAATATAAACCCACCCTTACTTATTTGCATGAAAATACCACCCACCAGAACTAAGGAAGTCTTAAAAGTTATTTGGAGGCTCTAAGTGTAGTTTTCAAACCAAAGAACTCTAATTTTGATTGCATAATAAGATGATTGATAAGAAAGTCAATATATATATTTCACTTTAAGCATTTTACACTAACTTTCCTTTCACGCTGTCAACCAGGCATGTTTGTATGGAATTAATCTAGCATTCTTCTGACTAAAAACCTGCCCTTTCAGAAGAAATAGTGGCTCATCCAACATACATTGAAGCAGTATCATTATTTTTCATCATATTAGATCTCATGCTTACTTGCAATATTGACCACTACACTTCTGATTCTTTCCCCTAAGGACCACTTAGGATACTTGAACTAAGCGACTTTTTCTCCTGGTGACTAATACTCATACATTCTTCACATTTTATAATATTATACTTAAACATTTCAATCTCCCATCTAAGAAGGCCAGGAGGTGCTTTTTTTGAAGGCATGGAGAGATGGAAGCTACCGCCCATACTTCAAAGGAAATTACAGGATGCCAGGCAATGTATGTCAGGATCAGATGTCCTGCAAGCAACCCCTCAGAGGGCAATACATGAATCTTTGAGGATGAAGCTTCGCTGATAACTGCATTATAGTGAATATGTCAGGATAGCCAACGACAAAGAATGAAGCCAGTACGAGAAAGGAGCTATTTGGACAAAAAACAGCAAGTCTATAGCAGGACTGTCCATGCCAACTGGTGAACCCTTCACACCATTGTGTGTTGTGGATGTCATGATGTGGTAATGTTTGCCTTAATGAGCTGTGGTCTCTCCATGTTCTATATACCTCCTTTGTATTCCTCCCATTCTACCATCTTGGAATGAGTGTTTACTCTGTTTCCTTGTATGTTGAAAGTATATAATTTGTTTTCCTTTACATAGTACAGGATTCCACAGCTAACAAATTTCTCTGATTCTCAGTAGATCCTGTGGATGTGAACTTTTGACAATAATGAAACTACTAAGACTTGGGGGATTCGTGGAAATGAACTAGATGTATTTTGTACTGTGAGATGACCAGGATCTTTGGGGGACTATGGGAAGAATAATAGGGCTAGAATATAAGACGTTCTCCTGCAGGTTCATTTATTAAACACTTGGCTCCCCGCCAAAAATAAAATAAGGATTTTATAATTGGCAGAGTGAGCAAGTTTTAGGAATTAACACAAATATTTCAATTGATAAAATTAGGAGAAAATGTTCACTTTTGGAGAGTTCAATCTCTCCCACAAAATTTATCTGAAGTGTTTTATTTCAGCCGGTTGTGCAGCCTTTTTAGTTTTTCCCAAACTTTATAACTCTTATTTTTAAGCACTAACTTATATCTCTTAAGCTAAAAAAAGGAGTGACAGCAATATTATACTCAGTGATTTGTGTCTCAGAGAGAAGCAGAATATCAGCTAATTTTCTGATACTTGAAAAAATTTACAGACATGCAAAACAAAGAGAAACACATTTTAAATTGCCAAGGTTATCTTAAACATAGAACCTCAATGACAAAAGGGAGATAGACTTGTCTACTCTCAAGTTTTAGTTAGTAGCCATATAAGGAAAGACACAATAATCACAAATATTTTTCTATTTTTAATGGGCAAATAATTTGAAAATAAATCTCAATTTTCATATCAATTTAGTTTCAAATATTCCAGCTGCCTACTAAACTCAGAAAAATTACAGATACTTTACAAGGTCAGTTTCCAAATCATTTGGAAAACCAATTTAAAAAATCGACTGTCTCGGGCTGGGAAGGTGGCTCATGCATGAGGCCCTGGGTTCAATTCCACATACACAGAAAAAGCTGGAAGTGGGTGCTGTGGCTCAAGTGGTAGAGTGCTAGCCTTGAGCCAAAGAAGCTCAGGAACAGTGCCCAGGCCCTGAGCTCAAGCCCTAACTCTGGCAAAAAACAAAAATAAATACTAATGCTACTTCCTAAAGCCTCCTCTACTTTTCTTTATCTTGATATAGCATTACATGTTACCAACCACAAAAAATTCTCTAATTCTCCCACTTTGTTTAAAACCCAGACAAGCCTGAAAATGTAGTTGAGGTATAAGACTAGGGGTTTTCTGGTTAGCCACAAGTTTCCCATCTTTCTTTTGGGAAAGGAGAGGGAATGAAACTAGAAGGGAAGCTGATCATAAAGAAGTGAGAGGAGACTGTGTTTCTAAAAGAAAATAAACCACCACTGGCATGCATAATCTACAGCCTGAAGAAAGAGCGGCCTGCATGTCTCTGGACTTAACGTAAGCAATTTTTCCTTCTAAAACAAAATCTCCTCAGTTGCCATAAAACTCATCGACTATATTACTGAGTAGAACTTCCCCCATATCCATGAACTATACTGACTGCTAAATGGAACTTTGATTCTCTCCAATTTATTCAAGTGACAAGATGGCCCCCAAATACCCAAAGCCAATAATAGAAAAGTAAAAATCACTGCCTTCAAATTAAAAATCTGAATCACCTCTTAAAAAATAATCACCTTATTAATCAAGAGGCTATTTTTCCTTTCATATTAGAGCTGACCGTAATGTTAATTAATTTATAAATAATCTTAAAACCTTAACAAAGGAAATGTACCAAACTACACCTGTGTAAAATTGATCATGTTTTAATTATGGGCTAAAAACTGTCTTAAGATAGTAAGCCTGAATTAGAGAAATTAATATTCCAAATAGATTGCTAGAGTATGTCACCATGGAGGAGTTGAGGGAGTTAATGACTTTTTTTCCCCTCTACATACAACATCATCATTAGCAAACTAGTAAATCTTAATGGGAATGATAAGGCAAAAATAGTAAAACCACACTTCTGTAAAAGTTATGGTAGGGAGAAATACATGAAAAGCAATGAAGATGTGATCATTGCTACCCACCCAGGGGAGCAAGGAAATCGAATCTTAGAATGATCTAGTCATCTTCTTCTCCATCATCCTCAGCATCTTGTTTTCTCTTCTCTCCATGAAGGCCTCATCTTCTTCCTCATCCTCCTCTTTCCCTTCTCCAACATAGTCATCATCATCTTCTTCATCCTGAATTTCTTCTTTCATTAAGTATGAAAGGCCCACTTCCTCTTCTCCCTCTCCCAATTCTAAATCTGCTTCATCTTCCTCCTCTTCCTCCTCCTATCCAATTTCATCTTCATCCTCATCATCTTCCTCTTCTGAGTCTGTTGTTTTGTTGTCCTCCTGATCAAATCCATATATGTATGTGATTTGCTGCAGCAGCTCAAAAATACTTTCTCTGTAATCTTCCCAGTTTGTAATCTACAGTTAAACAACTGAAAATGTTTCAGTTTTTAAGATTTTGCAGGGCTTCCTCGGTACTGAGATCTTTGATTTTGTTTCCACTCAGCTTGAGGTAGATAAAATGTGGACACTTCTCCGCCAGGACTTCCAGACCTCCAGAAATTATATTGTCACCAAGTTCCAACTTTCAAAGTTTATTCAAGCTGGGGAGCTGGGCCAGTGAATTTACTTTCACATTAGCCATACTCAGAAACTCTAGTTCTTTAAAAGTGTCATTAAGGCCTTCAATGTCTCTCCTGACATACAGGCATTTGTCAAGGACTACCTCTGTTACCTCCTCAAGGGCTCTGTTCCTTAACTCCACACCAATCCTCTTCTTCATCTTTATGTCCTGCTCTTCTGCTACTACTCTCCTCCCTTACTCCTTCCCTTTCCTATTACCCCTACACCTAAATTTTTTTTAAAGATTTGGAAATGAATGAAAAGCAAATATAAATGCCCATAACCACCAAATAGGTGTAAAGGAGAAAAAAAGAATAGCAAATGGAGTCCAAGGAGTTAAGACCCTTAACTGCCCCTACCTCCTTGTCCACATATCTACATATGCACACAAGCATGCATACACATTCCCACAGTCCCTTCCCCCTCAATGGCTGCTTGGAGATTCCAGACATTCACTTTTATATTTATAAAAGTTAACCTTGTGGGGGGCGGGGGTGGGATGAGGTTTGGCTGCAAGTAGATGCTTTTGTAATCAAGAGTTCTCAAGGGGAAGTGTGTTTGTGAGCATAATGGTTCTCCTCTATTATTAGTAAAAGTAGTGCTTGATTTTTCTTAGTAAAGAGCTCTGATACAGCAGAGTGGTGGCCAGTGGCCTAGCTTCATGGAAGGCATTTCTTCCTTTAAGTCATTGATGGGACCTTCTGGCGAGCTATATAGTAGTATAGGGTCAAATGGTTAACACACTTGAGTAAGAAAAGGACCATGCACCTTTAATTGTAAACATAGTCCATCTAGGGTTAAAGAACCTGACCTGATAGATTTCTAGTTTATTATATCTTGTGTGGGTAGCACAAGGAAGGAGGAGATAAATGGAAAGCATTCCTAGAGAAATAGGGATGTGTGTGTATGTGTGTGTAAGTGTATGTGTGTAAGTTTTGTGGTACTAGGGTTTGAATTCAGGGCTTCATGCTTGCTAGGCAAGCACTTTACCATCTGAACCACGGTTCCAGCCTTTTTTGCTTTGATTACTTTTGAGAATAGGATCTTTTTTGCCTGTGTCATCATTCTTCTATTTTAGGCTCCCCATTGTAGCTATATTGACAGGTCTGGTTTACCACACCCAGTTTTTTCTATTGAGATTAGGGTTTCTCATCTTGCCCAGGTTAGCCTCAAACCATGATCCTAACCAGTGTTGGCCTTTCAAGTAGCTGGGATTGTAGGCATAAGCCATAACATCCAGCTTATCTCCTGTATCTTCAGGGCCCAGATATTTGATATTTATGCAAATTATGGTGGGGAAGTGTTACAGGCGTGGCTCCTGCTCTTTAGGAATTCCAGTTCTTCTGGGAGATAAGTACACAAATTTTAATAAAGCAAGAGAGATTAATTAATTGTGTGTGTGTGTGTGTGTGTGTGTATGCACACGCGTGCGTACTCATACAGGAGCATATCCAGGGAAGGGCCAAAGATAGAAGGTGGAAAGGGACTGGGGATTGAAAATTAGGAAGTTAGCCAGACGTCGTGGCTAATGCTTCTAGTGGGATCAGGAGAATAATTCAAGGTCAAAATTCAAGAGATCCTATCTCAACCAGGTAAAAGCTAGGTATGGTGTCACCTAAATAATGTCAGGAATTATAAATAGAATCACAGTTTAGCTTAAGCATAAACATGAGGCTTCATCTAAAAAAATAGTAAAAGCACAAAGGGCTCTAGGGGTTGAGCACTAACTCAAATGCATGGCCTGAATTCAACCACAATAACCAAAAACAAATGGAAGTGGCAAAGAAATGGTATTGTAGGAGAAGTCCAAGGACACAGTGAGCTTAGAGGTTTATAGGTTTCTTTTAGATAGACCAGAAATGAATGGAGAAGTGATAGGAAATAAAGCTTAGAATGAGTTCTGACCCATACGCTGTGTGGTTTTAAAACTTTGTCCCCTGCCTTAGAAGGGAATAAAGAATCCTACAGAGGGTGATAGTTTACTTTCAGTTTTTCAGAATGCCCTTTCTATAGAACCAGAGGGATGTGGATATACCTGAAGGTTTTAACCTGGAGATGTGGTTTGAGCTGTTCTGGTATAATGATTTGATTCTGGGGGACTATTAGAAAGGGCCAGACTAATGTAAGAATTCTTTGCCTTCAAAGAGAAAATAGTAGCAATATTGTAAATAAAACCTGTTAGAGTACTTGGGAACTATAAATAAGGACATAGAGAAAAAAAATAAAGGTAAATTGTAGGAAAGGGTAACATTGAGGTGGGGTGGTATAATGGAAAAGATTTCTTTACAACATGCTGTTTGACCAATTTCCTAAATGAAGAGATCAAAGCCAGCCTTGCATCCATCTGGGGCAAAAATAAGTACTAGCCTCTTCAGATGGGAATACATTTAGTGTTGTAGGAACAGAAAGGTGGTCAGCATAGCTGACATCTGGAAAGGGAGTCAGGATAGAATGGGATGAAGGGGTGCTGGGCTCGGCTGACCCAGTTGGACCTGTGACCCATGGAGGGCAGTGTGGATGACAAGCACTGGATGGGTTTTAAGCAGGGAAGGGACATTATCTGATATGTTTTAGGTACAATTATTATTAAGGTTTGGAACAGAGGGGTTACCATTTCCTAAGTCAGGCAATGAGTACATTTCTGGTTGTGGACAATATCACCCCTTTCCTGCTTTCCCCTCGTTTCCCCCTCCCATTCCTGCTCACAAATTACATAGTTCATTTCCCACATAGTGTATGCTGAATGGCATGATTGCATTTGTTTACCCTTCCAACCTCCCTTTCTGCTCCCCCAAAAGAAAAAACCCAAAGCAAAAACAAACACCATCACCAATAACAACAACAACAACAACAAAAAAAACCCCATGTTTCCATTTGCTAGAGTTTGATCAGCAGTATTTTAAATGTTCAGAGAAGTTACACCTTTGGGTTCCTCCCCTAAGTATCCTTCTCTAACCAGTGTGCGACTGTCTGGAGTCCTATATAGGCTATGATGGCCAATTGTATTTTAGATATAGCTTAACATATGAGAGAAAGCATGTATCATTTGTCTCTCAAAGCTTGGCTTACCTCATTTAATTTGATTTTTTTCTAGGTCCATCCATTTGATACCTATTTTTTTAATAAGTTTTTTATTGTGAAAATACTTGTACAGAGGGGTTACAATCACATGAGCAAGGTAATGAGTACATTTCTCATCAAGCATTATTGCCTCCTAATTTGTTTTTCCCCTCCCATCTCTTCCCTCCCATCTCCACAACTACACTCCCAAGCAGAAAAGGTCAGATAAGATGATGTTAAGTGAAATGAACCCCATGATAAGGACACAAGTGTTTTTTTCCCCTTGCTTGCTATTGTTTCTAAGGTATTTATAAGGTACCACGTGATTTTTTTTGTTGCTTTGTATGTCCCTCCCCCATGGTATAACCCCTGTTTTCACTGTATTTGATGTTGGTATAATTTGGGGAGTGGAAGGGAAAAAATAAATTGTTTAGATATTGATACCTCTTTTTGAAAGTCCACTCGAGATGAGAACTGGTAGCTCACATTTGTACTCTTAGCTAGTCAGAAAGTTGAGATCTGAGGACTGTAGTTCAAGGCCAACAGGGGCAGGAAAGTCTGGGGAAAATGTTCCTCCAATGGGCCACCAAAAAGCCCGAAGTAGAACTGTGGCTTAAGTGGTAGAGTGCCAGCCTTAAGCCAAACAAACAAATAAAAATCTCAGAGATAGTGCCCAGGCCTAGAGGTGAAGCCCCAGTACTGACAAGTACATATACAAAGTCTACTCAGTCTGGTGCCTGTGGCTCATGCCTGTCATCCCAGCTACTCAGAAGTCTGAAATCTGAGGATCATGGTTCAAAGCCAGCCTGGGCAGGAAAGTCCATGAGATTTTCATCTTCAATGAACCCCTAGAAAATGGAAAGTAATGCTGTGGCTCAGAGTGGTAGAGCAGAAAAAGCTCAGGAACAGCATCCAGGCCCTGAGTTCAAGCCCCACAACTGACCAAAAAAAAGTTCACTCAAGTTTCTTTTTAAAGAATGCACTTAAGACCTGAGTTGCTGGGGCTGGGAAGGTGGCTCAGTGGTAGAGCGCTTGCCTTGCATGCATGAGGCCCTGGGTTCGATTCCTCAGCACCACATAAGAAAAAAGCCGGAAGTGGTAGAGCGCTAGCCTTGAGCTGAAGAGCTGAGGGACAGCGCCCAGGCCGGACCAAAAAAAAAAGATTCTAATTGAGATAGCAACCCAAACTTCATCCTCTGAGGAAGGGATTGGTAACTTATGGCATGGCTGGTTTGTGTTCAGATTTTTATTGTTCGGGTTGGCACAAGGGTCAGCTTGAATACCTCTGTTAAGATGGTCCTCCATTTTGGCTTTAAGCTCCCACAGATCTGGATTTCAGTCTTAACCCCTGTCACTTCTTCACAGTGTGAATTTATTTGAATTTGTTTTGGAAAAAAAGAGTTTAATAATACCTAATTTATACAGCTCTTATGAGTGGATGTAGGTGTAAAGTCTCTTAGCATTGTCTTGCCATGAAATAATGTATTCCCCAACTTGGATTCCTTCTTACTCTCCCACGTGAGTAGATAAATGACTAAATGAAAAGATGAAGGAATGAATTCTTCCAGAACAAATAACTAAACAGACTTGGTAGAGGAGAGGTAAATGAATTCATTAGGTGATTGTTAAATGTATTAGGAAAATTTCTTTTCCTTAAAAAATGAACAGTGACAAATAAACATCTAATGACAGTTCGGTGTGATAAATGTTACAAGTGGGCACGTACAAGATTGCTGATGGTGAAAACAGGAGCGGTTATTCCAGCCTGGGTTGGGTAATGTGTGGCAGTTAACTGACCATCAAAAATGTATACAGAAATGACAGAGGTAACATCGTCTATGAAGTTAAGTTCAACTTCTTTCTCTTTCCAGATAGAGCAGGTGTTCTTTGTGTGCCTGGTAATTTCATTTTGCGTCTCCGTCACTTTGCTGTTCTTGTGGATAGAAACCTCCAATGAATACTTTGACTTTGACTGGTGAGTCTTTTTTTGGATACTTTTATTTGTATTAATAAGGTCTGATAGCCACTTGGATCCTACCTCAGGTTGAAACAATCAGACTAGGTAGAATGGGGGAAATTAGACTTTTCACAGACAGCCTGTAGGTAAGAGACCTGCCTGGGGCAGAAGGAGGATGCTTAGCACCTAACCTAGTACACTTCTCCCACTTGTACTCAGCTTCACACTGAGAGCAAACCTGCTTCCATGGGAAGTGTTCTCTGTGTTTCCAAAGCCTTCTCAGAGGATTCCCTGTCATCTTAATCTTATGTCTCTGAGTTACTGATGTCTACACTACTGGGTCTTCACGAATTCTGCCTCTGAACTCTGCCTTCTCTGCTTACCCTTTCTTTTTTCTTTTTCTTTTTGGTGGGTGGAGTCTGGTCGTGAGGCCTGAACTCGGTGCCTGGGCGCTGTCCCTCAGCTCTTCAGCTCAAGGCTAGCACTCTACCACTTGAGCCACAGCGCCACTTCTGGCTTTTTTCTTTTTCTACTTGTGTGGTGCTGAGGAATCAAACCCAGGGCCTCATGCATGCAAGGCAAGCGCTCTACCACTGAGCCACCTTCCCAGCCCCTCTGCTTACCCTTTGTTTTGGCCTAATACTTCCAGTATTGCTGTCAACCTTATTCATTATTTGATGTTTGGATATGACTTTGTTTCTTAATAGGAGATAGTTGGTTTTTCTCTTTATATTAGTAAAGCCTGTTTAATTATTTTAAATATAAAAAATGTAGAAAATTAGAAAATAAGTGATTAGCCATATTCTCTAGTGAAAATCACTTGATATATATTTTCCAGCCTTTGGCAATGCTTACTTTCCTATTCTCTCTCTCTCTCTCTCTCTCTCTCTCTCTCTCTCTCTCTCTCTATATATATATATATATATATATAATTTTGGTTTTCTTTTTCACGCAACATAGAAACATTTTAGCAAATCATCACAACTCCAACTGATATCATTTAAATGTTTCAGAATACATTTATTTAGATGTTTTTCTTTTGTTTCATGAGACAGGGTCTTGTTCTGTAGCCCAGGTTGGTCTAGAGCTCACTATATAGCCCAAGCTGGCCTTGATATTGCAATCCTTCTTTCTGCTTCTATCTCTCAAGTACTGGAATTCCACCCCCCCCCCCACAAGCAGCACCATACACAGTTACTTAGCTATATATATTTCGTTGCTAGACATTGAGTGTTGCCAATGTTCTTGTGCTGATGATAGTAGTGGAGAGAAATCTTCTCACAAGTGGAATTAGGTCAAGAACTTAAAATTATGCTTTTACAATTAGTAACCCTTTGTAGAACTCCTTAATAATAACAATAAAAATTATACTTTTACATTAGTATTTTCTCACTACGAGTCAGTGGTTCATGCCTATAAATCCTAGCTACTCAGCAGATAGAGATCTGAGGATCAGACTTTGAAACTAGCTGAGGCAGGAAAGTCTGTGAGACTCTTACCTCCAGTTAACCACCAAAGAGCCAGAAGTAAAGTTAGGGTTCATGTGGCAGAGCAGTAGCTTTGAGAGAAAAAGCTAAGGGAAGGCAGCCAAGGCCCAAAGTTCAAGCCCAATACCAGTACAAAAAAAAAGTTACCCTCTCAAAAAGTTTATAGTAGCAATTTTCATTTAAAATAGAGGTACATGGCAATGTTATCTCTTTTTAAATTAGCGTAGATTAATTGTACAAAAGTTTCATTGTGACATTTCTGTACATTTCATATAATATGGACTTTGATCAAATTCACTCTCTCTTTTACTCTTTCTTATTCCCCTCTCCTTCCATTTTTTGATTAAAGAGTGATGTAAAGAAGGTTACCATTTCGCGAGTCAGGTAATGAGTACATTTCATTTTGGATAGTGTCATTCTTTCCTTCACTTTCTTCCAGTTTTTTCCTTTCCATCCCTACTCACAAGTTTTATAATTCATTTTCAACATAGTGTCTAGTGAATATCACTGCTCATTTGGTCACCCTTTGTCCCTCCATTTCTGTGATCCTTTTACCCCTCCAAATAGGGATACAGGAACAAACCAGACAAAAAGAAAAAAAACATACTGTTTCCATTTCCTGGAGTTCATTTTGATAAATGTTATTTATCAAAGGCATTGCCCCTTCGTGTTACTCTCCTAAGAGTCTCCTCCCTTGGTCTCACTCTGTGTGGATGCCTAGATTCCTGTTCAATTGATCATGTCCAAGTATATTTTAGATCTAGCTTCTGTGTATGAGAGAATATATGCACTGTTGATCCCTCAGAGCGTGGCTTACCTCACCTAACATGATCTTTCCTAGATCCATCTGTTTCCTGCAATGACATATTATTCTTTTTAATGGCTGTGTAAAATTCCAATGTGTATAAGTACCACATTTTTTTGGGTCCATTGCTTTTTTTTTTTTTTTTTTGCCTAGAATTACTTGGGTTATTCGAGATGTTTATTGTTCCATATGAACTTTTTCTCTATCTGGGAAAAGAATGTCATTGGGATTTTGATAGAGATTAAATTAAATTAAAAATTAATTTTTAGATCATTTTTGGCAGTATGGCCATTTTCACAAACATAGACAGTCTTTCTGTTTCCCCATGTTGTCTGATTTCTTTTTTCAATTTTTTATAGTTTTTGCTATAAAGGTATTTTGCTTTCTTGTTTAGGTTTATTCCCAAATATTTTTTTCTTTTGAGGCTATTGCCAATAGAATTATTTTTCCCAATTTCTGTCTCTGCTTATACATTGTTGGTATACAGAAAGGCTACTGATTTCCATGGATTAATTTTTGTATCCTGCGATTTTTCCAAAGTTATGGATCAGTTCTAGGAGTTTGAGGATGGAGTCTTTTGGATCCTTTAGGTATAAGATCATGTCATCTACAAATAGGGATATTTTGACATCTTATTTCCCTAAGTGAATACCTTTTGTATCTTTTTCCTGCCTTATTTATTGCTTTGGCTAGGAATTCCAGAACATTTCAATCCCTTACCCAGGCCTTCTTGGATGGCCTGCATTTTCTTGGTAATTTTCCCCTTGTATTCAATTTTCCTTTGATCTGACTTTTTATTTCATCTGCTAGTTCTTTCACCATTGCTTCAATGGTTCTTTGTTCTCCCTCTCTTCTTTGCTGTCACTAGAATCTTTCTTTGGGTTGTTGGTTTCTGAGAATGGCATTGTTATCTTGATTGCTCATGAATGATGTGATCTTTAACTGTGATTTACACATCTTGGGTTCAGGGTTTGTAGAGGCTGTTAAGATTAGGTATTCTATTCAGTGGTAACGGGGTGTGATTTTCTGGTTTTCTTGTGGGCAACGTATAGTTGGTGTCTCCCGGAAAGGTCCAGCTGAGTACTGTCTCTCCCCATGCTATGTCCAAAGGTGGTATATGTGGGGATTGCATGGAAGCTGTTTGTGCCCAGTTAGGTGTGAACCACAGAGCTGTGGGATGTTGTTGGTAACCTGCTCTAGGATGCTCAGGCAGGCTTCAGGGCTGGCTGGGTGTAGACCCCCAGTGCTGTGGGCGAGAGTATCCTGCAAGGTCAAGCACAGATGAGCTTTGAGAGTTGCCTAGGCAGAGACCATAGGCAAGATGGGTGAGAGCTTCCCACATATGATGGATGCCCCACCTGGCTTTTGAGGCTGGGTGCAACCGTCAATGCTGTGGGTGGCTCCTTGTGGGATGTAGATTCTCCCACCCTGACATTGTTAGAAGCTGGTGACATCCCACCACTCAGGGGTGTAAGATTGAGCTTGAGCAGGTATTGGCAGGCATCATATGTGGAGATGCATGCTTGGGCTTTTAGAGGCCCCTCTCTGTCCACTGGCCAATTTAGAGGTCTCATGGACACCTTTCTCTGGGTTAGAGCCCCCCCTCCCTCATGCCATTACCACTAAGATGGGTCTCCCATTTTGACTGTTCACATATTAAGGGACCTGTGAATATCTTTCCTGGAATTAGGGGTCCCCGCTGTGTCTGCTAGCAGCAGCCCTCAGAGACTATTCCCAGGGTTAGGACCCTACCGAAATCAGTCCTGGGGTTGGAAGCCCACTTTTGACTCGGCACTGGTGGCTTAGTTTCCCTCTCTGTATGAGTTCCTGATGCTATTAGTTCCTGTCCATATTGGCAATGCGCGTGGCTTGCAAGGGTCTGGGCTAAGAGTGCTCAGTCCTGTGTGGCAGTAAACACATGCTAGAATATGGGTCCCAGAATGGGTCCCAGTGCTTCTGGCCTCACCCAGCTCGAGAGGGGGAGGAGTTACCGCCGTTGCTCGGCAGCAGAATTTACCATGATGGCTGTGATCTAAAATCCTCAGAGGAAATGGCCCAGAAGTACCCCAGAGAAAGAGGGTTGTGTGGAGCCCACCAGAGTGGTGGTGCCCCCTCAGGACTTCGGGACCCTCAGTGAACCACTTATGACCTCTAAAGAGTGAGACACTCCATCAAAGCACGGTTAAAGTTATTTACACTATTTACATCAGAAAGGGGGCCTGCAACTACCTTACCTGGGCTAGATCCCCAGAACCAAGAACAGCCTCGACCATCAAACCTCCAAGCCTCCAACAGGCAGCCCCGACTAGTCGGTCTGCAAACTTCCAAACCTCATAACTCCAAAGCTCCAAACTTCCTCCTCTGCAGGCCTCTCCACTCTCCACAAGCCTATCCTGCTCTGCTTCAGGAAGTACCTCTCCACAGGCCTCTCTTGGGGAAGGTCCCAAATGACCCCTCTGGAGGAAGCCCCAAATGGCCTCTCGAGGAGGCTTGTCCCCGCCCTCCACAGGCCTGCCCTGCTCTGGCAGGCTTTCCCCTCCTGCTATCTCTCTCTCTCTCAGTCTCTCTCTGTCCCTCCCTCCCTTCCTCCTACCTTGCTTGGAACGTGCAGCTTATACATAGGCTGTGCCCCTCCCCCAGTGGGACTCAGGGTTTCATCTGCCTAGTAATTTCTAACCCCATGCTCCTCCCCCAAGCCACCCACTGTCCAATCACTTCCAATCGGA